CACTATATTTTTCCGGCAGGTCCTCCCCCATGAAGGAAATGCTAACTTTGTGGACTGTACAGGTGGATATAGTTGTTGTGAGTTTGGTTTAGTTACAAACGTCTTTTCAATAACTCGGTAGATCTGGTGAGGCTCAGATGTCCCAGCTTTTCACCAGCCTTGAACGCAGCATCATCTGTGACTCTGGAGGTAAGAAAGCCTCAAGTCACATTCACAGGCAGCTGGTCCGTGCGCAGCAGGTAATTCGTGCACGTGTATTTGACAATTTGCACGCAGAGAAAACTCCTCGTTGTGCATTTTGAAACGCGTGCATGTGAAAACCTGTTGATGCATTTGTGATACTTGAGGTACGTCTGTGGGTTTTATCGTGCACGTACAAATCTTGTGGAACGTTGTGCGACTATTTTTTAGACTCATTTATCTCCGTAATATTCTGTATTCTTGCATCGACCCAGTTTATGACATTAAATTAAAGAAGTGCCTCAGAGTGACGCACTGCAGATCACAGGAAGACGAGATTGTTCTTGTTAAACCTTCTGTGAATCCAAACTGACGTCTGGTTCAGTCACAGCTGTGAGGTTTCCTACGGCTCGTGCACCGTGCTCACTGCAGATGAAAACTGACCTGAAGAGCCAAGGTACCAGTTATTCCTGGTGGAGGTGGCGTACTCTGGAGAAAAGACAGACAAACAGAATATTTCAGCACAAACGTGTTGCTTGTTTACACGTTTGTCAGCAGATTCGTTTGGTTTGAACCCACTCGTATAAAAATCACACTAAATGTTTTTAATTTTAGAAAAAGTAACCGTTTGATGTTTAACAGAGTTTCAAGAGCTTCAAATTGTTTTTCAAAAATGCAAATAAAGACCTGCGCATATCTTCATGACGGTCTTCAGCGGTCCGGATGTGTAGAGCAGCCCCACCAGGATTCCTGCCAGGTGACCAACGAAAGAGGTCCTGCAGCAGCAGAGAACAGAGATCTGACCAACACCCTCACCTGGTGGACACTACGGTTCACAGCAGCACCCCCAGCTGTCTCTCACTGAGCGCAGAGCGATGGAGGCTACGTGGAGATTAGACGGAGAGGAAATGGGCTCATTTTTATTTGAGTGTCTTCTAGTTTTTAATATTTGCATCAAAGGGACCAGTGAACTGCGTCGCAGACTAAATGTGGAAATCCAGCTCGATGTTTGCGTCATCAGGGTCAAGTGCAAGTCATTAGATTTAAGTCAGACAGGTTTCCTTCCTTTGTCTACAGCAGTCTGAGATGAACTTTGCTGAATTGATGCCACGTGAATTAGCGGCGTTTAAAATAATTAACCAAAGAAACGCATCATGGAGGAGAAGCGAGGGTAAGAAGTGTCTTAAAGTAAAGGCACGAAAGAAAAACCATGGCCACGTGTTTTGGTTTCACATCTGGGAAAATATTAAATGTGGACTAACTGACACAAGGAGAGTTATGAAAGTTTATGTTTTTAAGTACCTGAGGAGGTCAGTGGTTTTAGAAGACCCAACAATCAGATGAGATACGTGACCGCAACAAACTCCTGCTTCAACGTTAACATCTGCTCCTGACCAGGACATTCTGCCGCTCTTTGGCTTCAGCAAAGATTAAACGTTGCTTCCACAATGAAACGAACCAGTGTTGCCAGATCTCGCGATGGAAACAAGCAACCAGCTCCATGAAAACAAGCCCAACTGGCAACCCACCATATTGTGTAAAACAGAGGCCATTTTTAAACAGTATAAACAAAACAACAAAGTCCATGCTCAATAATCCAGGTATACAATCCAACATTTTTCAGTCAGGTCATCTGGACAGTTTCACCTTGGATCCAGAAGGCTTCATTCAACCTTTATTTAGACAGGTAAGTCCCACTGAGCCTCGAGGACTCATTTACAAGAGAGACCTGAT